CATTCAGTATTTCAGGCACAAACGGAAGAATTCTTATACAGGTAATACACTGGAAACAGTCATTAGAACAGGATTTATATAATTATACTGGTATCTAAAATCCAGAATTTATGTGGTTGGACAAAATGGTTAATAAAATCATTCTGTAACATGACATCAGAATGCTGTTAAAAAGGTCCTTACACAGATAAGCTGAACCGTTCACCATATTAGCATCTATGACCTGACCTTGACCTGAATTTGTCCTTTCAAACAATGCCATGGCGATACCCAGTGCACACATCAGTCCTCCACCGGCAAAGTCAGCTAGCAGGTTGATTGGTGGATATGGGTTCTCGTGTTTCCTGCCAAGTTGTGACAGCACTCCTTTAGGGGTAAAGGTAAGAGGTTTAAGCTTGCAAACATTGATGGATTTATAAATAATATTAAAGTATATAATTCAGCAACATAAACTGCTTATAGTTTCTAATACAGTCAAACAGACACAAAATACCAGTTTTGCTTAAAAGTGAAATCCAGTAATGGCAAAGCTGGAAGAAATTAAATTACTTTACAGTTGAATATACTTGTAATGTAAAAAAATAGAGGTTTATATGAAAAGACAGGGTCATGTTAAATATACCTAAATGTAAAAGGGGAGGGATGGCCTAGTGGTTAAGGTGTCTGCCTCTCAACCCAGAGATCATGGGTTCGAGCCCTCATCGGGTCACATATGACACAGTACTGGTTGGTTCCAGGAAGCGGACTGGAAAGTTTGTTTGTTTGTTTGTTTCATTTTACGCCTTTTCCCAACAGTTTTTCAGTCATATAGGCGGGTAGTTTCCTAACCATCGTTCCTGGAGAGTTACACCAGCACTAGACTACCTTCCTCCGTGCTAAACTACCAAAGCATCTCCCAGGGATCGAACCCACGCCAGAGAGGTAACTGGATTAGAAGTCATCCACTCTAACCCCTCAACCACGGAGGCAGTAGGACTCAAAAGTGATTAAAATAAGTTGCAAGAACTTATTTCACAATCAAGCTTAAATAAAAATGCTTTAACCAACTATACCTGATAATTGACTATAATAGTTAATGAAGTTTAGTTACATTAGAATGTATTTTAACATACCTGATATAGCTATATAATTAATATCATGGCCCGCCTTCATAGAGAGTGGTCCCTTCTGTCCAAAACCAGTCAGGCGAGCATAGATAAGCTGAGGATTGTCAGCAAGAAGCTTGTCTGGTCCAAGTCCAAGCTTCTCCATAACACCTGTAAGACAATGAGATACTTAATGTACATACATGAGTGCAATTGATAAATTAGTTCAATATAACTTTTTATTCACACAACTGAAGTTTATATCTTGATTAAGTCAGAGCCCACTATTCCAAAGGTGCTGTGGCCGATGTTACAATTGACAGGTGCCTTAAAACTTTACCCTTTCTAAATGGTTCAATAACAACATCAGCTCTGGAGCACAGCTTTCTCACTATATTGACTCCTTCAGGTTGTTTTAAGTCCACGGAAACAGACTTCTTCCCTCTAGACATTGTATCCAAACTGTATGCAGTACTTGAACCTTTTCGTGGAGTCTGGTAAAACAGGAAAAAAATCATAATTTTCACCATCACTTTTAAGTTAATACAAATGTACAAAAAAAATACACTTAACCACTTTTAACAAGTCATCTAAAAATAAATATTTAATACTAGTATATATGTAAGTAAATGAAAAACTGTTAAAATCAATAAAAACTTAATTTCTACGTGTTCCACTGAACATAAAATGATTAAAAGCAATGTTTTTGTGACCATTCAAATGCACAAGTTAGTAACTGTTACATATTTCTACTGTAATTATTAACTGAAACACTAAAAAAAAATAATTTAAGAAATAAAATGTTGGCCATAAGTTTTACAAGTAAATGTTATGTGATTATTCTCAACTATAAAAATTGGTCAAATTGACTTTCTATATGAAGGTTAAATTTACCCTGCTGGCCACAACTGAATCTGACCACACAACCAGTGCCATCTGGTCATGGTGTGATTTATTCAGTACAGTACTTTTGATATTTTCCCTAAAAGTGATAAATGGTTTTGTCTAGACTGAAAGATGGACAAGTTCATTCCAAATATTTAGCATTGTAAGGGTTAGAATTGTATGTTTATTTAAAATACAAATATTTAAACTGACTACAAGTACCCTATCAATCCTGGTAACATTGGCACCAAAATCTGACAAGATCATTCCACAGAATGGGGCAGGAGCTAGGCCCGCCAGCTCTATAACCTTTACACCCTTCAGAGCCATCTTCAATATCTGGAAAAAATCAATATCAGTATCTCATATATATCTGTTTTTCCTTGAAATCTTACCAATAATCTAATAATAGCCTAATATGCTAAATACAAATTATATAACCCCCTCCCTCACTCTTCCTCATAAACATGTAACAGGAAATTGTTACAAAATTATATTTTCAGCTTTTCAAATCCATTATAAAGCGAAGAGCATTTGATGAACAGTTCTGTCCAAGTTGGTCAATGTAATAGTAGTGACACATAACAGAGCATTTCTCTTATATGATAAACAACTGACAACAAAGGGCCATAACTATGCTAAAAATGATCAAATCATAAAACTCTGACAATATGTGTAAGGGCCCTGAGTGTAACCCTACTTCTCTGACAAGATTTACCTGGGCACTTGATGATAGTTCTGTAAAAGTTTGTATGAAAACTACTGAAGGACGTAATAGGGAATTTATTTCGCTGCATTTTGTATATCAAGTGTGATAAAAAAAAAATGAAGGGTCATAATTGTGCCCAAAATGATCAGTCCCAAATTCTGACATTTTACTATGGAGACAGTAGATGACATTATACTTCTGAGTAATGTCTAGAATCCCTTGAGAAATATAAGGAGAAGTTGTGCACCAGTCTTTTGCCAACATTCACCAATCCAATAGCTACAGTAGCTTATAACGCGACGGGTAGCTTTCATATAAAGAAAACATGATTAAAATCTTAATATTGTTTACATAATTCATACATAATAATTTTCTTTACTTTTTAAAGTTTTATATCATTTATTAAAGTATTGATGAATTAATCTTTTCCCACTCTAACAAAGCAGTGCAAGAGATAACAGGAGAAATAAGCCTTCCATCTGTTATGCTCTTACTCATAGCCTTTTTAGTTAGGTGTGAACAGTTTGACTCAATTTACACACAGTTTTTTCACCTACTTTCAAACAGTTGCAGCAGAAACATATATTTTAACGTCTCTATTTGCAGATAACTCTTAAAAATTATCTTCTTGACTTTTACTGCTCATTTATTAAAAGTTTTAAATTGCCACTACAAGGTAAAATACAGTGAAAACTCCCTCTTCTACTTTTTTTTCATTGGAAAAAGACATCGCCTGTCCAAAATTATCTCGATGTCTCTATGGCATCTAATTAGTTGGATTAGTCTGTGATAATTAAATGACTATTATTTTCACACTCCATACTTAAAGTAAAGTAGGCCTATCGTCTATCAGCAGATTATGCTCCTTGTAAATACATACAGTAGTGTTACTGGTGTCACCCCGGTACGGAATTAGACCCAGCCCGTTATAGTCTAGAAAGTAGTTCTTTTAAATTTTGAAATGGCCTATTTCAAGTCATCTTAATTGATACTGGTTATATTTTAAGTATATCTTTAGTAATTATGTACATGAAGTTTCATTTCTGAGTACTTTAAAGGTTGTTTTTGATGTATTTTTGCAGGATTTCATTTCTGGGTGGAAGGTTTCATGAGGCACTATGCACAAGAATACACACCAGTTACTATTTGGAATATTCTATAGTGATTACAGAAATTAAAAGCTGCAGAAAAACTCCAAGGGCTAATGTATTATTTTTTTGTGCTAAATTTACTTGGACTGCATTCCCAGCAAACAAAAGACGTTGTACCAACGTTGTACAGACGTTAGACCCTGACGTTGGATAAACGTTGGCAGAAGGTTGGATTTGAAAGTTTTTTAGACGTCAGAATCCGACGTCTATACAACGTCATAAAATGACCCTTATCCAACCTTATCTGACCATAATCCAACCTTTTCTGACCATTATCTGACCATAAACCAACCTTTTCTGACCATTATCTGACCATAATCCAACCTTTTCTGACCATTATCTGACCATAATCCAACCTTTTCTGACCATTATCTGACCATAATCCAAACTTATCTGACCATGATTTAACCTTATTTCAAACTTTTTGGAATATGATGTTTTCATTTTAAGCTCATTAGTAGGGTAAACAAATAAGCATTCTTATAATTTCAACAATTTATTTTCAATACGAATCACATGTACAAAACAATAAATGTGGTACTATAACAAATGTAACATTAACATAATGTATTTTGAACTATTAAACTTGACAGTATGTACGTAAATAACGCTTCATGTATTAAATAATCATGTTTTAGATATACAAAATTCTTCATAAACATTAACACTGACATTTTTATGGTTAACATTCATGCATGTTTTTCTTATATCACCAAGGCTTATTTCCGACTGAACCGATCACCCTGAGGTTGGGGTTTTCCAATCATCTATCCAACTCACTGATTGTATTTATATTTTTCTTTGTACTTTTTGTTCTGAATGTTAAATGGAACAATATTGTGAATAATTTGATATTACTACAAATCAATGTTCATATATCTTAATTAGCATTCTTCTTTCGTCCACCTCCACTATGGCGATCTGGGGCATACTTTAAAGTTCAAGCATATCATAATCTGAACCTTTACCGTCCCCAACCTGAGATATCATCATTCACACTATCTGAAATTTAAAAATAAATCAAATAATCACTTACAATTGCAAGCAATAAATCACTTTTACATATTACAAATAAATGAAATTCTGACAAAACTCTCCAACTACTTTAACAAAAGAGGCTTATTTTTTATTTACTTTAGTTTTAACCATGTAGTTTCATGTACCTATATATCCATTGATTTTGATAAAAATGGCTTCGTGATCAATGTAATATTTTTAATATACCTGTCACAAAATCTTGTTTTTTTCTTCTTCTTTTCCTCTTAATAATTTCATCTTCCTCCTCTGAACTTTCGACAGTTGTTGAATTATCATAATTTTCACAATCTCTGATATTCACTGAAAGACAAAACAATATTACGATTATCAAAGCACGTTTACGAAAAAAACCTGATAAAATCTTCAATTAATTACATTTAATTTTCATTAAGTATGACCTGAAAATTTAGTAAGAAATTACGATTTTTTCCTGCGCAAAATTTAATATGAAACTGATATTTTTTATATTTATTATATTAATTAATATAAATGCTACAACATCAAAGAAATTCACATGTTACTGTCATTTTTATAGATATAATATCTCTGCCCAGCATGATCCGGTCTGCTAAGAGTATAAAGGACAGACTGGCTGCGGGTACAAACGTTTTATGATATGAGCATATAACTTGTTTCACTATATTTGATAAGCAGGCTAATTAACAAACTATTATTTTTATTGATTTATAACCTTGATAATGTGTTTACTGACTGATAATATGTTGTCTTATTACATTAATGAAAAGATAAGTAGTCGAAAACAATGTGGTTTCAGATATATCTTACCAAAGTTGTATCATTTGTATCATTTACATGGATAAAATGCCATGAATCATAATCATAATATAAGAAACACTAAGTATGCTCATGGGTAAAATACTTCAATTTAACAACCTGTAGTTACACAACTACACAGACATCAAAATAAAACTGTGCGTGAGATCCTACAGTTATCTGATACATGTGTAAATGACTGGCCCCTCATAATAAAAAAATTCATGTTGATAAGAAATAAGAGGAAATTTTATATGCCAGCATTTGAATAATAGAGTCTAATTAACGTACTGCATTTAACCTTTTATTGATTTCAATTGCTAGTATATTTTACCATTACCATTGTTTATGCAAAAAAAAAAAAATAATTTGGCAATGGCGATATAGTGTGGGAAAAATGATCCGATAACACAAATTGTTCTAAAGCAAATAATAAAGTGCTCTAACGAGGAAACGAAAATATTTATCTCGCGAAATCATGTGAATTTAAGTTTTACCAGTCAAACTTTACAATGATCAATTAACCGTCGAATCCATGCAAACATGCGGTAAATAAGCATTAAAAACAATGTATAAAGTATGCCTACCTTTTTTCTATTTGTTTGGAATATACAACTTTGTCTGTCAACCCGTCGTTTTTGTCCGCCAATACAATTGAATTTCAAATCCGATAAGACTCCAATTCGAATTTACTAGATTATTTACCACTATTAAATGAAGCCCACAAAAATGATTACAACTTCATTGTTAATTATTTAACAATCTTCTTTCACTAATTCGAGGAGATAAGTTATTATTAAAAAGAAAATAGAGCAAATATATATTATACTGATCTGCGGCTCTCCGTTTACCGAGCGCCACCTATCGAATATCGAACGGTAGCCACCCACGTGACACTGTTGTTGTTTTGATTAGGCAAATAAATTTATAATTTTCCCTTTCTAAAGAAACTTAAAATTCTCACTGTTTATGCTTATATTTATATATATTGGTTTTATAAATTAAATTTACCAATTGTCAGATTACCGACCAAAATCCGACGTCGGGTCGACGTCAAAATGAAACGATTGTTAGACGTCGGGGTTTCAACGTTGGTTTGACGTTGTGTGAAGGTCGCCGACGTCGCGACCAATTTTCAACGTTGATCCAACGTTGTGTCAACGTCGGGTGTTTGCTGGGTTGGTGTTTAAAGAAATGGTCATGAAGTTTCGGTACCGGATTTGCTTTGTCCAGAATTTAGCCTTAAATGTGATGGATTTACTATAGGATATATGGGTCGAAAATTCAGTGGGCCGTATCCTACTGTCGTCTGCAAACACTGAGATGTTCTATACCGTATACTGGTCAATGATCTAATCATAATGAATGGCTATTATTGATTATGAATGTAGAAACAGAAAGCACAGGACAGATAACAGAATATTTGTAGAACATAATTGATGTGACACATTGGGAAATATACAATCTTTAAAATGGACAAGTGATATATTACCATGCAATGCACTAAGTCCCAGGTAACTCTGCAACAGGTAACAGTGCCCCTCCAGTGGGAACTGTGAAAGGTTACTATTTAGAACGGTGAATATGTAAATATCTCTCTAATAAAAAGTGAGTGTGACTAAAAAAAGGATTGGAGCACCACACTAAATACCGTATTCCGGTATATACCGGACAAGACGCTTGAATGATAAAATGCTAAAATCTTGCCTTTTCACCCAACGGAATGAACTTTAAAAGGTCTAATTCATCTTTTCACACCGATTTATGTATGATAATGCATGAAAAATGTAAAAACCGGCGAAAAAAACGATATTTGTCTATTTTGTGATCATGATTTTTGCAGGCGTCTAAAGGTACTGCTCCAATCCTGTATTGAGTTAAATCCATAAAAAGTCTGCACTAGTAATCAAGGGAAGTAACTGCAAGCGATTAAAATTTCGCAACTCGGACGTAATATTAATGATTTAAGCAGCACAACCTTCAAACTCAGAACTATAAGTAAGATAAGTTGTGAAGAATTGTCAAATTACTGTAATGATTGGATACGTTCATTTTCTGACTACTTATATAGTCAGGAAATAATGATTTCAAAATACCAAATTATTCAGTATTCACCAAAGACAACAGTAATTATCTACCTGAGATGAAAGAGAAAAACAAATACCCTACTATAAGTAAACTTTCTATAAAACCAGATGGTGTGCTGAAACTACTTAAAGACATAAACATTAACAAAGCAAATGGCCCAGACAACCTACCAAACATTATTCTCAAAAACTGTGCAAATGAACTAGCGAATGGCCTAAGTTGCATTTTCCAGCTCTCTATTGACACGGGTGAACTCCCAAGGGATTGGAGGGATGCAAACGTTACCCCAGTCTTCAAGAAAGGCGACAGGCACTCAGCTGAAAACTATCGACCAGTGAGTCTTACATCAGTTCCAAGTAAGATCTTAGAACACATCATATGCAGCCACTTACTTAAACACCTGGAAAAACATCGTATATTAACGTCACTTAACCACGGTTTTCGCTCCGGTTTTTCAACAGAAACACAACTACTAGTAACTATGCATGACCTACTTTCATCTTTCGAAAGAAAACAGCAAGTAGACGTCGCCATTCTGGACTTCTCCAAGGCGTTTGATACCGTCCCCCATGATCGTCTGCTTTGGAAAATAGAGAACTATGGAATAAAAGGAGAACTACTAACCTGGCTGTCGTCCTTCTTGAAAGAGAGAACAATGAATATAGTAGTCGAGGGAGAACATTCCAAGAGCACCCATGTTGAATCGGGCGTGCCCCAAGGTACTGTACTAGGACCTCTGATGTTCCTTTGTCACATAAATGACCTACCATTAAGCGTTAAATCACAAGTCAGACTGTTCGCAGACGATTGCCTCCTCTATAGAGAAATTAAAAACCACAAAGATCACATAACTTTACAAAAAGACCTTAAAAGCCTTGAGAACTGGGCGTCAGAGTGGGGGAATGAGGTTCAACGCTGGTAAATGCTATATACTGAGCATCAAAAACAAGACATCACACTTCTATGAACTCAATAATACTATCTTAAAACACGTGGACTCAAATCCTTATCTTGGTGTACTTATCTCCAACGATCTGACATGGACCAACCATATTACAAAATATATGTAAAAAAGCAAGTTCAACCTTGGGCTTTCTTAGAAGAAATTTGAAACATTGCCCTCTAGATTGTAGAAAAACAGCCTTTATAGCCCTTGTACGTTCGAAAATAGAATATGCTTCAATCATCTGGGACCCGTTCTTGAAAAAAGATATTGATAAACTGGAAAATATACAAAGATTAGGAGCAAGATTCATTATGAATGACTACAAGTCAAGAAAACCAGGATGTGTTACAGATATGCTGACCAGCTTGAAACTCGACTCACTACAAGACCGTAGGACCTACAACCGCCTTGTAATGCTCTACAAGATAGCAGGGGTATGGTGCCAGCAGTGGACCCTGATAAATACCTGACTCAGAAAGTTGAAGGACGCTTAATTAAACCAAAGAGATTCAGTGACTGTGAAACCACAAACATTATAAGAGTAGCCAATAACACTAGATCATTTAAAACTATAAACGCACAAACAAATCAATTTAAAAACTCCTTCTTTGTGAAAACACTTGAGGATTGGAACCATCTGGAAGATTCAGTTGTGCATGCAGTTACAATAGGGGGCTTCAAATCAGCCCTTCAGAAACTCGACTAGAGTTCCTCCACTCCCCGTAGGACATATACCAGAAGTGGTCCTCCTACGTATTCACACAGATACAGATACAGAATTGTGTCTATATAATCGGCTAAAATGTATCCGAATCGTATTTAAGCTCGATCTGCTAGGCTAGGTCTTTCAAATGATATGAAATCAGCAATTTTGCATGTGTTCATTACATTGTTTTAATTAAAATTATTATATTAACAGGAGAACTGTTTGATATTCTATCAATGAGATAAGAAAGTACATAGGCCTATTTTTTTCATAGATTATTGTTTTTAACACTGTTTAATAACAGAAATAATTAAGGGTATATAGTAGATACAGTAGAATTTTGGTAAGTCTTGCGTAAAAACTTCGACACATCAGGACTTCGACTCATGAATCGGTCTCAGTTCAATGACAAAATTGTTGACATTTACAAGCAAGTTACAAAAGGCATAATAAAAGAAAAGGGCGATAACTAAACCAGCATATAGTAAACATATCCCATACATAGTAAGGCTGTTAGAACACACGGCTTTGTAATTGACACCTGTCAAACAAGTTGATCGGAAATCATCTTCGCGGTCAGATAGGTGTGAAAAACGTCTGTCAAAATAATACTAGCATTAGGACTTTGACTTATTGTTGATAAAGTTGATTTATTCTATACGGACCACGAAAAACTTCAACACATCAAAAAATTCGACACATAAAATTTCGACTCATATAAAGGTTTTTATAAGGAATATATTGGGGGAAAACCGGGACTTTCATTTTACTTCGACACATGGAGAAAATTGACTAATCAAAGTTCAACTCATAGAAGTTCTACTGTATATATATTTAAGCTTGTCTATATTGAAAAAATAATTGGTGTTGTCATTTGATATCATTGATCAAAAACTTTAATGAAGTCCATTTTTCATTCATTTTAAAACAAAACTTGGATACTTGCTTATTAGGACTAAGGTTTTTGCAGTGTTTGACTTAAATTGTACATGGCACTTTCGGCTCTTAAATCCTTTTAGAAAGGAGACTATGTAAGATATTCATTACTTTCCAAGAACTTACGATAAGTAGCTTTTTGATGTCTCCAGTATTGGTGTTATATAAAGGAACATGGTTGTGACCTGAGTAGGGTCGGGACACATGATCCCTTGGTTAAGAGGCAGATGCCTCATAATAACCACTTGGCTGTCGCTTCACCTCTCAGTTGTGAAAAACTTTTACTGGAAAATGTACATGTAAATATATGTGTTATATCTTTGAATATTGCGCGCTAATTGAGTTTATGGTTGAACATAAAAAAGTATCTAAAATTAAAGGTGAAATTAAATATATTTTTAACATCTTGTTACAGGTTCAAAGTGAATATTCAGCAGAAGTGAAATGTCTAAGCCATTTTATCCAACCAATGACGGCCATATAGGAAACTTGAGAAAATTATCAACTATTGAGATACGAGACCTTTTGAAGAGACAACAGGACCTGTTAAAGAAGAAACAGTATGCTATAGTTTCAATATCATATTATGTTTGACTCTTTACACAGACTCTTTTTGGTAAAATCTACTAAAGATACAATGTATAGCCATAAGAATGTATAAACAACAGGGTTATAAAGTTTTTTAAATTTTGATAGTCAGTGTTCACTCATTAAATTTTTTTCTGAGACGATTTGTTTTGAATTTGAGGAGGTCATTTATAGATTGATCACATACAAAAAACAGAGTTTTCAAGTTTCGAGGCGTGCCAAAAAATGCATGTGAGGCAGTCATTTTGGCCTACAGCCGACCCCAAATGATATCCCTAATAGTATATTCCAAAGCTAAGAGTACCCATTAATCCATAACTTGCTGGAATCTAGAGTAATATGCCTTTGCCACCAATATAGTCTATTAGAGCCAGACTCCAAGCTAATAAAAATATTCTCCAAGCTCGAACTCAAATCTCAGGTAATTGATTGGTCAGAAACTGTCACTGAATGTACACGGACCAATGAAAATCCTGAGAGTTGAGACAGAACTCAGAAATGAAAGACAGAACTCAGAAACCTTGAGACCAGGCCCAAAGGTTATAAAGAAATTCTCCAAACACAGACTCAGGCATTTGATTGGTCAGACATTGTCACAGAATGTGACCAATAAAAATCCTTAGATTTGAGACAGAACTTAGACAGAAGTTTTATAACCTCAAGGCCAGGCCAGCCTGCAAATATGGGCCATCTGCCCAGTCTTTATACTGTTGACTGACCACCTTTTAATTTTCATCGTGATATACCCAAAATTTATAATGGACAGATAAAGAAAATGGACCATTGTCAAACGCATTTATGAAAGTCAGCAGTCCTACTAGGCTTGATACTGTTGACTGGCTTACTTCGAATGTTCATCTTGATTATGATAACCACATAATTAACCATGCAAAGTTAAAAAAAATGAAGCTGGCCAAGTCCATTTATGAAATTTAGGAGTCCGACTAGGCTCTATATTACTGACTCGCTAACTTGAAATTTTCACCTTGATATTCCCATTTTGATAATGAACAGTTCCAACAATTGAAGCTGGAAAAGTCTTATTTACAAATTTCAGTAGGTTAAAAGTTACACTCTTAGCTATACATGTACATGTATATAGATATATTATAGAATATAAATGTACTTGATCCAAATATTTTCAGGTCATTACTGAATAAATTTCCTGACAAGGGTGCTAGGATAAAGAAGCATCTCGAAGACTTCCAGCAAGAATTGAGGCGGAGGGAGTCTGATGTGAATACAGAAGAGCAACTGTTAAAGGATGGCATAGCAGTAGTGAGTCAAAATATAGAACTGAGTGCCAAAAATATCCATACTGATCATGTAAAAAATGACAAAGCTGTC